ATATGAGAGGTTTAGCAAATACATGCCACATGTGAAAGTAAGTTTTATGCCATTTTGATTGTGTATAAACTATGTACGAATAAGTAGGATAATATTGTGCAGCTTTTAAGAGTTCTTTTTATAAAATTTTATATTGTTACACATGAATTTTTTAATAAATTATAAAATATTTTGTTACATTTACATTAAACAATTTTTACATAATATAGCACTAAATTTGAGTCATAATATATTTTTATCTTTTAATGAATATTCAATATTTTCTATACTAAAAAATATGAATGGAAAGGAGGTGAACTGTCTCACAGCCGTCTGTATTTTATCTGTATTTTTTGTACATACAATGATGAATACAATTTATAGTAGAAAGGGACAACTGAAGTCTTTGATTGAGATAAATATTTCTGATATATCTATCTCTTCCTAATCTTGTAAGAAGATTTATACTTTTGGTTTTTAATAAAATTCTTTTTGTTAGGTTGGCGTATTTTTCGGTGGTTTACCTATTCAAAAAGATGAAGAGACGTTGAAAACTGTGTGTCCTCATATTGTTGTCGGCACCCCTGGTCGTATTCTTGCTCTTGTACGGAATAAGAAACTGAATCTAAAACACCTGAAACATTTTATTCTTGACGAATGCGACAAGATGCTTGAATTATTAGGTACGTGTCATAAAACAACTAATTTATTTATTTAAAATTTATTAAAAAGAATCTACATGATGTGTGAAAAAGTCTTAATTTATTATGATGACTATTTTTTCCATCACCCACTTAACTGAGCGTTTCTTTAAAATTAATTTTATTTTTAACATCGCATTTCAAATAATAAATAATTGCGCTACATTGTTGTTACAGATATGCGCCGGGACGTACAGGAAATATTCAGAAGCACACCGCACAGCAAACAAGTCATGATGTTCAGTGCCACGCTGTCCAAGGAGATACGTCCTGTCTGCAAAAAATTCATGCAAGATGTAATTACACAATCTTCCTCCTCACTTCGATCTACAATTGCTCCTGTCTCGTTGGCATATTCGTGTCCAGGACAAAGCTCAAGCCACACTATAAATATCAATGTCGGCGCATCCGCGGGTTAGGCGCTTAGACGCCGCTTTGAAGAAATGAATACCGAGTTCGAAAAAAATGAATCTCGTTCGATATCTTTCGATAAACGGCGCAATCATATGCTCGACACTCGTGTCCAACATAATATCTCACTGCTCTTCCCGATTCTGATTCCAAGTCTAAACTCGATATCTGATGTGTCATCGTCTGCATATACATGTGGAGGGGAAGCATACACCTATTTGTCTAAAATCGAGTCAACCGACACGATGTTTGAAAGATCCGAGTTAGAGTTCCAATCGATAGTAAAGTCCTTTAATTAGTTGCTACGCATTTAAGGGACAACACGTAAAGATAACAATACGTTCAGGGAATATATTGAGGGAGAAAAACAGATAGGGATATGAAATATTTCTTATGGGTCGTCAGGAGGAGTTAGAATAGAGTTAGGCTCTGTATGCACTTATGGGATTTGTTTGCAATTATGGGTGGGGGGCTAAGAAGACTTCAAGACAACCTGAAGACAGAAGAGCACAAGAAAGAAGATGCAAGAGGATACTCGGGGGAATGATTAGGATTAGTTAGGGAAAAGAAATATGAAAGCATAGCATAGCTCTATTGTATTTGCGTTCATCCAATCCCATATTAAAAGCTTTACTAAAGTTTTCTTGTCTCGGTGCCAAGATTTCGATTGCGATCGTGGTCTCGTAGTACGAGTGAAGTCAACAAGGATGCAAGTGCCGTGCATGAATCGAGCAATTTCATGTCGTAAAAACCGTAAAGTCACATGAAAGCTAAATCACGCGAATCTTCGTGTATCTGTAAATTGCGCTCTTTATTTCGTACGAGTGACGCAAATCGGGTCGCGGCTTAGTGGATACCGGAAGTGAAGAGCTGAGCGTCTATGCCAACCAGAGTAATGCGAGTCGATTCTGGGCATCTTAATGTGCCAGAAATTTGGGAGAAGAGATTTTGGCATCGAGTGGCCAGCGGATGTGACCGAACGTTCTGTCATGAGTGCGCCTTCTTAAGTTCAGTTGGGACAAACTGCTGAGTTTTCGTTGTTGGCACTACCCAGAGATGGAAGTCGCCGGACCGTATGTAATCTGTATGACTAACCTCGATCGATGATTACGATTATTCTCTGCAATTGAAATGCGGGAGTCTCTTGCCGGGACTTTCTATGTTTACGGATATATACGGTAACTTAACGAACCTAATGCTGTTTCTTCAAAGGAAGAAAAATATACATATTTGGTAGTACATTTACAAGAAAAAAAAATGGTTTGGCTTTGTCTTTTTTTGTATCGCTTAAAGATTCTGTATTTTAAAAAACTTTCATTTTTGCAAACGCTGTAGTTGCATCAAGGGATATTATTTTAGTTTGTTTTACTTGTATTTTTGAACCGACGTCTCTTTATCGTGCATTTAACTGCACGATTTTTAGACGGCGAAAACAATGAGTACATTGAGACTGCAGACACAGCCGCAAATTTCTACGGCCTGAGAATTATACATAGGCACTGTATAATTTTATCTTATGAAATAATGTTCTTTGTGCAGCCCATGGAGGTCTATGTCGATGACGAGGCGAAGCTCACTTTGAACGGTCTCCAGCAACATTACGTTAAATTGAAGGAGAATGAGAAGAACAAGAAGTTGTTTGAACTGCTTGATGTTCTTGAGTTTAATCAGGTTTGTTTTCTAACTAGGACAATCTGCAGTGGATATCCATTTTTTTCTTATTGTGGAGAATCTTTACATGATGCAATAGTTTTTCTTATTTCCTATGATGACTATCTTATCACTACTCACCAATTCTGATGAAGATTCTTCCAAGTATTTATTTTTAAGAGTGATTTGTACGTTTAAACGAGTTAACATTTTAAGATATTAAATTAAAAATGTTTCTTCTTCAGATATATACCAGTTGTATTATCAATACTATATATATACTATTTACCTTTTAATGATTGCTTTGTATAGGTTGTCATATTTGTGAAGTCTGTACAAAGATGTATGGCTTTAGCACAACTTTTAACGGAACAGAATTTCCCTGCGATTGGGATTCATCGGGGCATGACGCAAGAGGAGCGGTTATCCAGATATCAACAGTTCAAAGATTTTCAGAAAGTAAGTCTGTGCACTAAGTTCTTCGAATTGAATTAAATTATGTACAGGATATGATTGAAAAAAAACGAGTAATATTTTCAGCGTATTTTGGTGGCGACAAACCTGTTTGGACGTGGTATGGATATAGAACGTGTAAACATTGTATTTAATTATGATATGCCAGAAGACTCCGATACATATTTGCACAGAGTTGCGCGTGCTGGTCGTTTTGGTACAAAGGTAATAAATTCTGGCTGTTTACGATGAATTCAACTTCATAGTAATTTTCCACATCAAATGTTTAAATTATATATGTTTAATAAGAAAACATTTTAAAATCTGTAACAATGTTCATTATTATATTATGCTGATAAAATCAAAACAAAAACGAAGTATTTAACTTATTGGTAATTAATTTGAATTTTAAAGTTATTTTGAATCTTGAAATATAATCGCTTTTTCTAATTATATATATGATTTTCTCATTTAACTATATTTCGCAGGGTCTTGCCATTACATTAGTAAGCGATGAAAGCGACGCAAAGATATTGAATGATGTTCAAGAAAGGTTTGACGTAAATATTACAGAATTACCGGACGAAATCGATCTCGCTTCATATAGTAAGTTTGACTTATTAGAAATTTAATTATTCTTGTTCAAAAGTCTTATATTAAAAGTATATTAATTTGATATCTTTTTTACTTACAGTTGAGGGACGATGAATTACAATGCACTAAGTCATAATAGTATCTTTTAAGGCACATAATTTAAGTGAGTGAGACATTTATTTAGTTGATAAGAAATAATACTAAGTATTAATATTTAGAACTGCATTTAAATAATTAGTTTTTTGCTTGTAGTACTTCTTATTCCACGTATTCATAACATAAGGATGGGCACCAAATAATAATTACAAATATACAAAAGAAAATGTAATTGCATTCACTGCAAAAAACCTGTTTTATATAAGTTTATCGGCTATTTTCAATGATATCGAACAATAAATATGATTGGTTGACGTAATCTCTATAACCATCGCTATACTTTGGTCAATACAATAAACTACTATTGATAAAGATGTACATTACATGTTTTATTCTATTTATTAGAAAATAAGGATGTTCTGTATAGTAGATATATTTCAGAATATAGTCGTTACATACCTCCTGTAAGACTATGAACGTCCAAAATAAAAACTTCCTTTTTTAAATACAAATTTATTTCCTGTAATAGTAGATAATTTTCCTACTAGTATAAAGGCAACAATTGAAACTGAAAAAATATTTTATTTTAATTTCATCATGATTAACTAAAATTAAAACAAGATAGATTTCATCGTTTATACAAATAATTGTGTATTATAATTACTTACAAATTAATTGTTTAGAATTTACAAAATTGTCATTATTTTCATAGATCATTTTTATTCTTACAACAATAAACTTATACGTATTTTTTTACAATTAATGCAATTTGCGACAAAAAATTAAATGAGAAGACTTTATAATTTTTAAATGCATTCCTAATAAAGTATTCACTACATTTTACATTACTGTAAAATATACCGTAACTCACGGTCTCGTGCAAAGGAACACTAGTATTGCTGCGCTTGTGTCTCCTGATACGTACAACCAAGTACAATATTCACACGAGCAATGTGCCTTTGTAGTTTGATATAAATTAAGATATTAAGTTTACATATACAAGATTATATGAAATAATAAGGAATCAGATAGTGACGAATCTTTGCAAAAGAAAATTAATATTTTCGAGTATTCGCGTAGAATTATGTAATTGAAATAAAATAAAAATATTTGGTTTCATTTAGGTCTTGGTTTATTTTGTGATTTATTTCCAACTTGTGTGCTACCTCCACGACCCAATGGTGCTGGACCTCTTCCTCCCCTGCCAAAGGTACCTGTAAGGTATATTGAACAATGAATAAATTGTTTTAAAGAGCAGATTGTTGGTAATAGTATCTTCTATAGGATAATACGAAAACAGAATTTTATTTACTGTTCCTTTAAAGTTTAATCTTCAAAAGCTCTTCATTTTAAATGTTTTGAATTATAGAGTACTTCAACATTTTCATTGAGGAAAAAAATTTCTTAGAAATACAGTTCAAAAAAGTACGTTTAAAGATATTTTTTATGTACAGAAGGTTAGTAATTTTATAAAGAAAAATCATTACCTCTTCCACCGCCACGTCCTCTTTGATTCTGGCCCCGACCCTTCATCTCGCCGCGTCCCCTTGATTTCATCTGTATATCTTCTTTTACCATATCTATTACTTCATCTGGGATCCTCAGATACTTTATTGTGCTGCCTCTTATATAGCATTCAGGCATTCTCCAGAATTTGTCACCATCCTAACACAATTGTCAGATTCTAATGAGTTGAATATCTATAGCTTAACTCTAGAGTTTATTGATTATAAATTAAAAACACTTGATTAACAAATTAGAAAAATAAACATATAAATACTAGCATATACTAGGTATCGATACTAAATGCTTCAAAACTAAATGTCTAGTGTATATTGATAAATTTTATTTGGTTTTAGTTTTTATTATAAAAGAATTGATGACAATTCATTCGGATAGTGTTATCTTTCTGTTTATTTCATAGATCCGTCTAAACTTAAGCTCAATTAAACAAATAAGAAGTTTTTCCTAGAATCAGCATACACAGTAATATTCTTACCCTTGACGTACATATAACCTCTCTGAGGTTTATGTTCATCCAGTTATCGCAGCTGACTAAGTGACCGTTGTAAGTTTCCCCATTTTTCAGCTCCACCAACTGCAATAAAATACTTAGTTGGATTATTAATATAGTAATATACAGGACCTCTTTAAACATTCTTCTTCAGAGATATTGTACACAAATCCAGGACTTACCATGGGGTGGTTTTGCGCTGTTTTTAGTAAAGTCAGAGGTAACTGAAAAGAATTAAACAATATGTATTAAAAGAACGAGGCGGGTCTCTTAATTATAGAATGAGAATAAAATGCTCACCATTATTATAATTTATTAAAACCCACTTCTTATAGGTTACGCGTCAACAGTCTATCAGATTTGAAAATAATTGTCTGCGAGCGCCAACTATTGGCGAGATTTTCCTCCAATGAGTCGTATGATGTTCGACCTCTCTTTAAAAAATATAAATAAAATAATTGTAACAGGCGCCGCATAAATAAATTATCCAAATTAAACAATTGAAAGATAAATCTTCTTTTAGCTTAAAAATTCAATTGAATATCCATTCAATTGAATATATATATCCAAATGGAAGATATTACTTTTTATATATAAATTCTACAATCTTATTTTTTATAGCAGTCTATTAAAAAATGATAATAAATTTCACTTGTAAGTGAATACGTTTCCCGTCTTATGCATGTGCTATTTTTTAAATTAACGACCATAATAATTATAATACGAATCCAGATAGCAACGTGTTTGCTTTGTTGCTGACATATTTCCGGTAAAAAATTTTTCATGCATGAATATATATAAATATGTATAAACATACATAAACACGCATAAATATTCATAAATATGTATAATTTTATATATGAAATATGTCCATACATGTTCATACATCCTTCTTTTTTTTGTAAAATTACATTTTAGTGTAATAGAAATAATAATAGTATAACGTGAAAATATAAAAAATGATTAAAAAGGTAATTTTCGCACTATTTATTTTAGAAAAAATCAAGTTTGAAGAAATGTAAAAAAAACTATTTATATGTATAATTATATATAAAATTATGCATGAACAATTTTTTTATATTTTTCCAAACTTGTTTTTGCCTAAAACGAACAATGCGAAAATTATCCCTTTAATTATATTTTATGTTTCTACATTATTATTATTATTTCTATTACACTAAAAAGTAATTTTACACAAAAGAAAGGAAGATGTATGAACATGTATGGACATATTTCATATATATATAAAATTATACATGTTTATGAATATTTATTCGTGTTTATGTATGTTTATACATATTTATACATTATCATGCATGAAAAATTTTTTACCGGGTTGCTTGCTAAATATGCATTGCTAAGATTTGTGCGATTTTGTTAAGACACGCTTTGTTATGCTTTGTCTGAGAATTATGTAAATACGATATTGTGATTATAAATATGTAACTAGCATGTCTAAAAATGGATTCATTCATATTTATCGATGTTATTTATCGAAACGCTATATAATATCATCTACCAACGTTAATCTGCGTGACCATTGATAATAAACTGCTTCGATTTTAGACTGCCAAATCGTCCGATCGATATACGTATCGCAGCTGCAATAGTCGTTCATTCAAGTTTGTTCGTTGCATAATGTGAGAATTGCATAAATAGGAGCAGATTCGTGAATGAAAGTATTTCGCGACGTCACGATATCGACGCTAAACTTGTCACGTTACTTTAAGATCTCCGGCGAGATTTTGACGATAACATAATTTCGCTTCGATTCATCGCTCTTCAGTGTGATATTCGAGACCAAACGCTAATTGACCGAACGCAATTCACCAGTACGGAAAGAACGCTTTTCGAAAAAAAGTTAAAACTCATGTATTTTACTTCTTTACTTAGAAATATTAATTTTCTTAAATTGAGAAGCTAGATGTATTTTTAAATATATTTTATACATATGTATAAAATTAATATTTTTAATCTTATATATATGTATAAAATATATTTAAAAAATATATATACGTAATGTATAAGTACATTAAAGAGATTTTTAATTTAAAAAATTAATATATATCTCCAAATATAAGTAAAATAGATGATATAAGTTAGAAACAAAATCGCTATACGAATATAAATCAACTAAGAAAGAAGTTCCAACTACGATCAAACTTAGATATTGGAATAATAATTCTATACATGTAATTTATTTTAAATACATATATTCTTCAGATATATGCAACAGTTCATTTTGATTGTGTTGCAAGTCCGAAAGTAATCGACACGCAATTACTATATCTGAAAAAAATGTATTTAAAATAAATTATACATATATAGAGAATTATTATTTTATTACATAAAGCCGCAGTTGGCGCTTCTTCTTAGTTAAAAACAGATGAATTTTAATTTCGCAATTTGTAAAAATAATGGCTTTTTTTTTTCAAAAACACGACGCTAAATTATTACATATGCGATCGTTTCAAACTATGAGTTAATATGATATTAACAAGCGGAATGATCTAGCGGTACATGGCAGTCTGTGTTTCGTAAAAGTGACAATCGGTTTTTAAATCGGAGCCCCTCTCCCGTTACTGTCTCCCGTGTTTGTGTTCGTCAACAATGCTATGTTGTACATACTTCAAACGAACATACGCGCAGCCGATTCCTCGTCAGCACGCAAGCTCGCGGGTAAAATACATACATACCCGCGACATACCCGGCTACGCGACTCATCCGGCGAAAAACAACTCACACGCGCGCGAGACACTCGGCATTGTCGCGCACGACAGTGCTTCGCACCGTACATCGCGCTGTATCGCGCGGGCTATCGTGCATCTGCGGCATGACGGATAATTGGTCGCCGAGAAACTGGAAAGTAAGGATCTTGGACACACACCTACGCACGCCTGATGACTGATGAAGTGTAATTGTGAGTATGTGAAAGCCGTCTCCTAATTGTGTGTTCCGTGGAATCATCCTCGTGCCCGTCTGCGAAACAATCTCTTCTCAACTCTTTGCGGTCCTATATCGAGGATTGGATTCGATGTAAAGTACTGCGGTAGTTTATCGTACCTTCAAGTCGAATACAATTCCGTTCTGTAATTATAATCAGCGAATTATATTTTTAGAATCTTTATATATTCCTGCAATACAAATTTGATTTATGTTAGACTAATCGATTGAATAAAATTAAGAATAAAATACTTGAGCTTCGTTCAATATGTGAGAAAGTTTGAACCGGAAAAGATTGATAAATAATTTTTAATTAGTTAACAAAAAACGTGCACTCGATAACAATTCGAGACATCGTGAAGAATCCTAAATAGGTCTTGTATATATTAAAATTAAATAAATTGCAAATTTATGCAATTATTATAAATTCTAAGTTGTATTCTTGCACAATATGGAATGTAAAATCCTTTTAAGTGATTTTTAAAATAATTCAGAACTAGAAATAGCGCAGAAATTTTTTCGAGATTTTAACATAAAGATTCTTTATCTTTTCTTCTATGAAGATTCTTCGATCCATTAAGCGCACGATTATGAATAATACATACAGATTTGCTCGGGTTAAGGAAGTCATGATTTCCGCAACCTGTTGCCGAATTACTGACATTATTATTATTGCTAAACGTCTAGAATTGTTAAATATCTTGCGATGCAGTTTACAAAACGTATTTACCGTTCCGCTTAACCGATAATGCGGTAGATAAGCGATGACATGCAGAATTCGTAAAAACAGTTTATTTTCCGTATAAAATATGATTTCTCAAAATCGCGCGAATCGGTAACAGAACTTCATCGACAGAAGACAATTGCTTATCCTAAAAATTAACTCATTTATCAGCAAGAAATCACAAGGGCACCTATCATGGAACAAGTCGAAATGGATTCCGATCGAAATTATTTAACTATTCCCTAGATTTATATTGTATTTTCTAAAGAAAACGGCATCATTCCAGTCAGAATTTCATAGAATCGATTGATCCCATGATAGGTGCCCAGATCAACATGCATAAATCAATGATGTCATCCGCGTTATCGGTGCGAGAAAAGCTGAGCAAAGACAAATAGATAAAATGCGGACTGATTTAGGAAAAGGCATAGAGTCTGCAATTTAAAATCATAGAACCGCGCTCATGCGATACTCGAGAGACGTGAAAGTAACTGTCAGTCTTATAAAAAAAATTATGGACAGAAGACGCACCTCGATAACGTGCTCGTTTGCTAATGCTAGAGCGCGTTATCTCTGATTAAATAGTATTATCGGTATGATATACGTCATGCTAAAAAGATAAGTGCAAATCATTTTTTGATAAGATCTCAAGACTTATGCATATCATATACATTACGTTAAATGAATTAAATAACAGTGTTTTCTTTACATGTCAACATCTAGAGATCCTTTAATCAGGGAATTGATTCCGTATCTTGAAACGAGGTGAAAATTACAAAATTGAGCGAATTTATTAGAATATTTAGAATTTCATTGTCAACATCTAGTAAATTTACTAAACTTTCCCTTCGTTTCAATCGATCCCCGGAGACTGGACACGAACCGCATTTTGTATGCAGGGTCTCTAGTTTTAGTAAAATCCTAAGAGAAAAGACATACATTTATTATTTGTTTTTCTGTTTATTTTATCTTTTTCTTGTCTCTTTCTTTCTCTCTTAGGAGTTGTTAAAATATGACGGACCAATCAAAAGTGACTGCGTCTTTCGTGTCTTGACTCCGATTAAAGAGTCTCTATCAATATTTAATGCCAAGATAATATCCTTTGTTTATCGAATAATATATAAAGCAGCGAATGCTGATAATTTAATAATACTCTAATTTTAAGCTGTTTATCATAGATTATTTACAAGACACTCACGAACTAAGGGGAATGCGCGGTTTGCCCATCGAAATTATTTCTATGGAAATCTAATCGAACATAATGGAAGTAACTGAAACAGTAATCATAATCCGCAAATGTAGTTTGAAATGGGAAAATACATATCGCGTGATGCCGATGAAAGATGATGATCATCGATTCGACGAGTAGCACGAATATATGGCATGTGTGTATAATAACATCGATGAAAGCAGAAATGAGATGGTGCATGCGTAAGTCCAATAGAAGTCCGTTTTGGCCACGACTTAGCCGGAATGACTGCTACACGTGGCCATTTGCCGTCTACGTGATTATAAGAAGCGGCCACAAAGTTGCGTACGCGCTTCATTTACGTTTCACCGTAAAACGACGGACGAGGTCGAGACTTACATTTCCGAAGTATCGACTTTTACCCTGGAAACAGACCGCGTTTATTATTACTTAAAAGTTGTACGAGTCTATAGACATTTCTCTCACCCTCTTCAAGCTATTTTAAATATTCAAGGTATTTTAAGATATATGTTGAAGAGGTATCGCGATATTGCGATAGATAGTGCGCGAATATTATTATCGCGATATCGTATGCTATTAGCGATCTTTTTGCACCTCCTTTAATAGGGCGAAAAAACTGTACTGCTAGCAATGTCCATGCCATTGTTAATAAAAATTTAAATCTTCCTTAGAATAATATAAAAACTATTTTATTTTGCTATTATTTAAATAATTCTTAATTTACAAGTTTAATTTTTGTTATATAACAATAAATTGAAAATAAAAGTCAATCCATTAGAAAATAAACATAGAATTCGAGACACTATAATTTCTTTCTGGACACCACGTCTATTTTTATTCGTAGAATAAATAAAAGTAGCTGACGAAGATGACCGATTTTACGTAATTTAAACAGAAAGCATTAAAACATTTTTGATAATATGATATGTTAAAAGAGAGAACTAGAAAAATTTTTAACTTTATAACATAATTATTAATTATATATGTTATGCCAATAATATGTTTACTTTGTTGTTATTTTTCTAATATTTTGAACAGAATTATGAACATTAATTACAAAATAAATGACTGAATGAATAGTGGATATAGTCATTTAATTCCATATCTGTTACCTGTCGCAATCACTCCTCTATTTTCGGATTCTAGGATTTTTAATATTCTCGGAACTTTGAGAATTTTTTTATTTTTTCAAGTGCATATACAGGTTTCCCTAACAATATCTAATACAACATCTCGTAAAATTTTTTATCTTGCAATCTTTATTCTCTCGTTAAAGAAAAAAAAAAGTATTTCTGACTTTGCTCAAAAGCTTTCCTCAAAAGCAGTAAAAGGACTTACTTCTATTCAGATAATCCTTCGCACACCAATTCTTGTCACGTTTTCATATTTTCATAAGTAATCGTAGATGCCTTTGTTTGAAAAATCGCATTAGTCGCTGCTTTTGATATTAGAGACGCGTCATGTTATTGGTTTTCATTATTTTAACAAAGGTCTTCCTTTCTGAAATAAAATCCTTGAGTTGAATTTCTCAGTTCTCGCCAGTAACTCGTAGCAAATGTTTCGATTCAACATACTACTGTAACATTTATTGTTGATTGTATATTGTTTAAATAAAAATCAAATAAAAATAAAATAACTTAATTGAGAGGACAGTTTTTCTGCTTACTCCACTTAAAATTATGATGTTGCGTAAAAGATATAAAATTTAGAAATTTTGAAAAATTCTTAAATTTATATAAACATTTAAAAAAATTACATGAAAAATTTTGAGAAAAATGTTCACAAGGGAAACATTCTTCTGTGTTGAGAGGCGCATAATTTATAAGCACATTTAGAAATATTTAATGGTAAAAGTTACAGTCCTCTCTATATGCAGAGTTACTACTTTCAAAAAGTGCGATATGGTGTTTCATAAAAAATTAACGATCTAGATAGAGGCGTATATGGGTGAAATCAATCCCCTCATTGCAGAATGTTAACAATAATCAGTCCTGTACGCGAAGTCGCGTCGACACTCGCAATATTGATACATAACCATGGCCAAGTTCTTTCACGAGTGAACTGCTATAATATAGATTAGAAATCGATCGGGCTTTGATAGAAATTGCGGAATCCCTTTGCGAATACTCGGCCATCGGAGCGCGCTTCGCGCCCGCGACCGACTTCGTTATCGTGAGCGCATTAATGTCGTGGTATTGTCTGTAAGTATCTTTAATGCTTTAATACAGAATCGTAAGTCCAGGGTTAGTCCTCGGCGAAGGTCGAGTCGAATCTTAAATAAAGTATGAACGCTCTGCGAAATATCCATATGTTATAGCTATCGGATGATACGGTACGCACAATCGTGGGTCACGTCGCATGAGGGTCTTTTACCTTTTACCACCCGTGTTTCGGTTCAAGGCTGAGTCAATACATTGTACCTCGCCTATATTACTTCTCGTTTAAAAACAAAATTCGGAGCGTATGTACATAAATTTTACCAGAGAAACGCAAGTGTCTTGCTTAAGGATGTATATTGTACATGTTTTTTAATAAAATGAAAAAATTAGGTTTTTCTATATTATATTTGAAAGTGATATAAAAAGTTTGGCGATTAAGAACCTGAATCAAAAATTATTTCAATAAGAAATAGATGTTTTTTAAAATAATTATAATAAAATAAGAAAATTTTTATTTAAACTATAAAATTATATTAAATATAAAAAATTTTAGATTTATCGCATATGTATAACTTTAATTTTTATCTGATATAATATACTTGATGTATTCTTAATAAACATAAGGAGGTCAATTTTTTAAAGATCTACTTTGGCAACTTATATGAAATGAAAATATAAAATTGGAACACAATATAATATGTACACGTATTTAAGAGAAAGAATTGAATTATAAGCAATTGAGATAAATAAAATAAGATTGATAATTGAAACTTTATGCAAGTGGCTAATTCGTACCGGAAATAATTGTCTTAAGAGGGTATTTTAGTGTGATTACTCGTTTTTAAGGTGAATTTTGGGAATTATATTTATAAAAACGGTTAAACCTATACAGAGCTAATGTTTTGCATTACATTCATTCATATTTGACGTAACTTTTCAAATTTTTGCAAAGCTTTTTATTGTATATTATACAAAATATGGATAGACCCGCAGGTCATGTCGCGAAAAATCGTTTTTATCGGGCGCAGTGATTGCCTCGTTGTCTGAAATAAAAAATTTTTTTTTTATTCTTTACGATCGTTATCGTTTCTATTAATAAATCATAGGAAGAAAAATCAATAAAATGGTAGTGCTTAAAAGAAAACACTTCGATTTTTACTAAAAAAAAAGTTTACTTTTTGCCACACGGAAAAATACTAATGTTAGAGATATCAAAAAATTGGAAGGCCAAGTGATAGTAATCATTAATATGTAGGTATACTGTACGTTTGCAAAAGCGCAAGCCGATCTGTCTAGTAATTTGCAAGAAAAATATGCGACTTAAAAAATGTTTAAAAATAAAACGAGTTTAAAGTTTCTCATGCATTTACGATATACATAATGAGTGATTTCATCAGTATCCCCTTAACATATTTTTAAGACTTCAAACTACAACAATACGAAAAAAAGTTTCGATTTCTTTTACCTGAAACACTAAAATACCCCTAAAAAAATACCACTAAAATACCCCTAAAATACCACTAAAAAATTAAAAACCATTTAGGTTTTGAATATGTGTAGTTTTTGGGAATAAAATTTCACAAGATTATCAAGTAAACCAAGAAATTGTCTAAATTAAAAAATCAATAAGTAGATACATATCAACGTTATTAACGATTTCCAATACATAATGTCCTTGTAACTACAAAAGGCTTCATTAAATGACCTTACAGTAGTGGCCTAATCTTATAATTCTCTTAAGCACGGAAACACAAGGTCTCAGGTTTTAGCGCTTGTTTGTGAAAACTACAAAGTCAGGTGGAAACTTCTAACGAAATATTATTTACAAATAGATTATTTGATATCTATCTCCTTACAGTTCATCGGTATAGTTTATAGAATACGTTGAAGTAAATTTTTGTGTAATTCTACCTATTTAGCAATCGAAATAAAAATAAGTAGAAGTACGTGAGTCGACGAGGTGAATTCCTTTTCTACAAAAGGGTTAATCGAACGAATGACTGAGAAATTATGGGACTAGCGGAGACCTCGACGCGACGGTCGCACGCGAGTCGCGAGGAGCGGCCAGTACAATACACGCTTCTCGGCTCTCGCCAATCTGGCCTCACGCACACAGGAGGTGAGCTTTCGCACGTATACGTACATCTGCATCGCGCACCATCGCGCACAGCGGCGTCGACGCGTGCACGCCGTGCACCAGTCGCGCACGACGACGCGCATCGACGAGGCGCGTCGACCGCATGACGGCGCCACGAGAAACGGCGTCGCGACGCTGTCGTCAGGCGGCGCCGGTCGTGAGGAAACGTGACGGGGTGTACGGTGCAGTGCGAAACGAGCGGACGGTGGGTAACTGAAGGAGAAAGCAGCAGCGCCTCCGTCTCCGTCGCGTCGCGTCACGTCGGTATCCCCCAGGTCGACCTTTCAGTTGCCGCGCGTTTCGCTCTCGACCGCTCCTAGAAACTCTGGAGACGAGGTTGAGCGCGAGTGCGAGCGCGCACACGCGCTCTTTTCACGACTCTCTCGCTCCTACCCCGTCCTACCGTCACCTCCTCTCTCTCCTTCTCCCCGTCTCTCTTTCTGTCATTCATATCTTTTCGCCTACTCCTCTGTTGCTTTCCTCGTCGGCACGCTCTCTCGGAGACAGTCTCGTTATACGTAAGTCCTTGTCGCTCGTTCATCTGGCTACACCCAGTTTTCGTCGCTCGAGTTGGTCCCCAGTGAAGACTCCAATGCGAGAATCCTAGCCTAAAGAATCCGGCCTATACTATCGGGGAGTAGCCGGCGAGTGGAGACGCTTGCGCGGATACACGCGTGTTCACGCGATGCGTCGGTGCCCGTGTGTGTACGTGTGTGCGAGTCACCGTGCCGGTGCAAGACGATCTATCTTCCTCTCGCGTCGTTGTTATTGTCGATTTATCGTTCTAACCACCCTGCTAGTGACTAATTGAACTCGGCGACGAGACCGTTTCTCGCATGGCTGCCGTCTCGCACGTCGGCGATCCTGTCAACATCCGTCACCGTCGAGGAGGCACTTCGAAACCGGCAGCAACAGTAATAAAGAGGTACGACGTCGCCAAGTTACCTCGTTATGAGCGATGACGGTTTCAATTCAGTAAAAGAGAGTATGCGATCAAATTTTTACGTGAGTGTACATGTTGTCTATCTAGATTCACCCTCGATTGAATTAAGGTCGCAGTCCTCCGTTGAGAATTAACTCCTCTTTAGCGATGAAATACTCCTCGTTAGGGATATATCCTTTCAGCGGTTCGTGTCCGATATATATCCTCCCTCACGTGCGAGATGACGTATGTGTGTCGGTTCGTAGCACAAGTGGTAGTTGATTGCATGCATCACGGTCAATCCTTTTGAATCCTGTGAGAGAAGTGTATATGTGTTAAATAAATTAACTCTTTATTTTTAGCTTCTTCGTTATGAGTTGTTCAATGTGATCAAAACTTGTCTCACTGACAACACTATTCTTTGTAGGTATATAATTGGACAGCTTTTAGAATGGTTTAGCATCTTTGTGTCTCACAATTGAGGGATGAATTATATGAATAGTCTTTATATAAAGAAAAATACGTGACCGCGTTATATAATCCAATAGCAATTTATAACATGATAAAACATTAATTTATTTAAAAAAGTTCATTCGTTAGATTCAATATTAAACTCTAACAGGATTATATTTATTTATTACGAATTCAATTTATGAAAATATTTTTTTATAGCCACGCAGGATTTATATTTCAGTTATATAAATAATTTTTGTTATTAATAAAATTAAATCAGTAATTAATGCCATTCGTCGTGAACAATTTTCAAATGGTGCTACTGGTGCACAAATCCATCGATATCTACAAATTAAATTGTTCCTCAATTCTTTTCTATTAAAATTCCGATCCTGTCATTGAATGTGCGAACAGAATACGTTATTCAAATGCGCATTGCATCTATGTACGGCGATGCCCTCAGATCAAGCGAGTCATATACATATACAATGAATCACAAGAATATTCATAATGCTAATTATAACTTTAAAAAGTTGATATATTTTCGAAGAGAACCTTTACCTATAAGAACGTGCAGATCTATATTAATTTTATGTTTCCAAATTTATATTTTAAAACAGTAATTTGTGACAAAAGTTATAAAATTACGTACAATATTGGAATACTGATATCACAAAAGTATTCATGACTCTTATAATTGGTTATATTTATTAAGCATAATTATAAATTTCGTTAAATCGTCTTTAGATTTGATAATATATTTTTTTAGACTATTTCGACATACTATATGTATAGTATTTATATACTATGTCCTATTTATATTCTTTAAAATTATATCTGCTCTACTATAAAGCTCTTATTTCTATTTTTCGGATTTTATTAAGATATATGACGTTCATGCGAAATAATTAGTATTATATAACAATTTTGTCTTCTCTGCGAAGACATCATCAATTGCTTGAAGTCACAAGTCAAGCAGCTAGATGGGATGAGACAGGCTGGATGGGAGTACAAACACTGTTGTGACTCATTGCGTATGCGTATATGAATGCATGCACTTACCCGTCGCGCGGGAGAATGCTCGCAATGGCGTGAAGGCGTGTATACACGTGTATGCACGCGCGCGCGCGCGTGCGCACTCATGTTTGAATCCTAACAAGATGAGAACGTGCTCCTCCTGCTTGAGTCCTGTGTGTATACCATCAGCCATCACGTGGTGGTGCTTCGAACGTCTCCCTACAAGTGGTGTGCGAGTAAATGCATACGAACCTTTGAACTGTAGAAAAAGATATACGTACATATCATATACATACAATGTGATGGAGATTATGACTTGCGCGCTCAACCAAGATCACTTCATCGTCTCTTCTTCATTCCTTTTAATCTCATTTTTGCAGCTTCACATGAATCGGTAACATAGGATCTGTTACGTCAACGGCGTCCTTCCTTGTATTTGATAAACCTTGCATTAGCTAAGTTATCGGTCGCTAATTATATGAGATTACATATTATTGCATAAAAGAGTTATATAAAACTTGGACTTAATAGTTTCTTTTTTCTTCGAAGATATGCCATTTTTTTATCAAATGTAAAATAATTTTTTTCACTATCAAGACATGTCAGACGAGGATCATGAGCATTCAGTATCGAACAAGATTTACATGTTATTGAGGGAAATGTGTAACATAAACGTGGTATTAAAAGAAAAAAACGTAAAGATTTTCTAATTTAATAACACACGTGTCGCCGCAAATCGACACGCTCCATCCAGGGCAACCGCGATAAGCTAAGCGTCAAAAGCGAGTCACAAAGCCCCGGAGAGCGTCTATGTGGCGCGAGGATGTGAATTTCGCGTGCGAATGATGACGTACACGATACACCCGTAGTGGCGTAGAAATTGATCGGTTACGTGTTGTGCGAGAGCCTTTAACCCTTTGCCTTCGGTTTAATTACTGGCACGCGATGTCTCACTGGACGACGGTGCATTAAAAAGCCAGCCTATTTCGAAAATCAATTCGAGCGGCAATTTGCACCCGCGGGGCACGATGCTCGACTTTCTAAGGGCTTCGAATCCCTCGAGTCTTTGTAGAGGAACTTGTAATAAGAAATCTTTCCTTTTCTTGCGCTATAATATCGTTCTTTCTTTCATCATTAGTGGTTTCACCGAACGATTTTGGTTCGTTATTCTACCTGCAAAAATATATATATATGAAAATATGTATAGAATACTTTTTATTAAATACATTTCCTGTAAACTGCATATTTTTGATTGACTCCAAGTTTTCCTTTAGCAAAACACTGGAGATCCTTATTTATTTCATAATTGCATAGTTTTTAAATTTCCAATATTACATATTTTTGTGATAAAATTGTTTTATAGATTGAAGTTTTTTCTACCGAAATAAAATCTACTTAAAATAAATTGAAAAAGTTTTATTATATATTTTCAGTATATATTGTAATAAAATATATATTTTTAATATATAGTTAACTAAAAAATACGGATACTTCAAGATCTTTATTAAAAAAATCGATTCAAAATTTGTTAAAGAATCTGTGTTTTAAGGAAAGTATTTGGTAATAATTATATATAAAAGATAGTATATACGTGCATTTATAAAATTAGAATCAATTCTCGGAATTTCTGAATTTTTCATGTTACAATTAAAAACTTCATAAATGCGTGAGCATCATTAAACATCGTTATAAATATACGTTCTTATGTTCTTGCGTGGACTCTCACGTAAACGCATTAACACGTACAAATAGGTACTTTTTAGTTTCACGCTCGAGGATTGCTAATGCAAACATACAAGAATACGCGCGAGCATTTCAATGTAGCGTAGGAGGCCCGCGAATGTCGTTATGGATGTCGTGTGAATCCGAGAACACTCACGCGATACTCGCGGAGATATGAAGACATAATGTTCCATGGTTCCGTGTAAGTGCGGAATTAACCTACTTTATATCGCGTAGTGACTAATTTGATTTGAAATTGAATAGAATTTCGTGTATTTCGGCATGCGACTTGTTTCATTCATTAAGATATTACGTGGCGCAATTACGATATGTAAATGACTGATAATCGTATATAAAATGCATGTACGTAGTCATGTATATTTGACGGTAATTGCGTACGAATGATGTATGAACGGATAATATCAATTTAGATAATATCAGTTGTGTCGACGTTGCGTGGACATATATGTGTAAAGTACTCCTCGCTAATGTCCATTTCCACCAATGTAGATTAACTTTAATCTAGGTTCAACCTATTTTTCATCTTTTTTTGATTCTTAGAACGAGATTAAAATTAATCTACACTAGTGGAAACGGACATAAGCGCGAAACCTCTACGCTGTTTCTCTTGAACCGCAGATTCTTGATTCTTCGATTAATTTCGAGTTGATTGTTCCTTTGAAGGAACTTCGAGGTTTATCCATTCCATTTTCGATATTTCCTGAAAAAAGCAATCGAGATATCAGATCTCTGTACAAACTCAAGTAATGCTCGATTATTATGATAAAGTCGAGATGATGTCATCTTGACTGAGACTGCATATCATGGAATGTGTCATTTAATTGCAGGTACTTGCCGCAACGTCCGATATCTGAAAGATACAGAAGATCTAAACTAGTGAAGATCTACATGGATGAACGATTCTAAACTTTCTCAGGATAATGCGCGGACTGACAATTCATTTCATCGCACGAATTGGAGCGAATAATTCATGCGACGGAGAGAGGACACCGAAGGAGGTGCATAATATGATGATCGTCCCAAAATAATTTAACTTTGTATATTTAATATACAAAAAAATCCTTTTGAAAACGAGCGAATTCTGTGAAATGCTTCCGAGTTCTGAAAGAATATGCTAGAATATTATTGTTCGTTCACGTAGATTCGCGTAAGAATTTTTCGGCTAAAGAACATGGAAGATATAAAAGTGCCGAACCTAGGACAGGCCGCATCGGCCGCATGTTCTATGGCGACCAATTTCCTGGCGCCGGTGAAGACCGAGCGGCAGATCTATGAAAATTCGATGCTTGAGGACGATCCTAATGCAAACTCAGTAGTACCGACCTCGCAGGAAGACAGAACTGTGCCCAGATGGGGTCCGAATCACAAAGGCGCCCAAGAGCTCGCGAATCTATATAGCACCGGTACGTAGAATCTCTTTATCCCAATCATTTAAGATCGACTGCTCTTGTTTTTTATTTGTGAAAGCATTTGCATAGCGATGATAAAACGCCACTGTCCTTAAAATTTATGAGTTACTAAGAATATACAGTATACACACCTTGAACAGTTTTGCTTCGTCATGAGAAAAAGAGAGAAGATATTCATTAACGTATCCAAGAATTTAAATGTATATTTCATTTAAAAGAAGCGAATGTGTAATATGATAGATGCATTTTTTATTTTAGCATAACGATCCAAGCGATTTTTAAAAACTTTAGATTTTTTGCTTATTATTATTAAAAATATTTATATATGTTATTACTTATGCAGGGTGTCTCACAACTGCCGCATTTCCTCTTAAGGACATCTTGAGGTAATTTTTGTATTAGGATTTTCATTTTAAAATTACCTCAAGAATACATTTTTAAGAGCATGGTGTAAGAAGTAAGGTGAACCATTCCCACGGATGCGCAGTCGGCTGAAAGTAATGGGGAGATCTGTCAACCAATTAATTTTTGAGTTTATTTGCAAAAATTCACATGATTCGTTCTGCAAATGAGTACACTGCAAATTAGTACAATTTTGATTGGTCGAACTCCGCCATTATGCGCAATATTCACCTTATATATATAATTCCACCATGCTTATAAGAAGAAATGTGGTAGTTGTAAGACACCCTGTATATTATTATTAAAAGTATTTATATTATGTATTTACAACAACAAATTATATTGATAATATTCTTCCAGGAAAGAGAACACAAGAATGTATCTGTGTGGGGATCTGTATCACCCTGATAGCTGTGAACTCTGTATTCGTGCTTATCAAATTACGACTAGAAAATTTGAGTTCCATAGCAATAGCTGCATTGTGCGGTATCATCACCGCCGACTTTGGCTCCGGTTTGGTTCATTGGGCTGCTGATACCTGGGGATCCGTTGAACTTCCAATCCTGGGGAAGGTAAAGTATCGAAAATGTAGAAATGAATGTTTCAAAATAAATCATGAATTTAATTTATCAAGAGCTTTTTTTTCAGAATTTCCTACGACCATTTCGCGAGCATCACATAGATCCTACCAGTATAACGAGACACGATTTCATAGAAACTAATGGCGATAATTTTATGGTCGCGATACCAGTCCTGTCTAAGCTCACGTGGGACTTTCTAACGTTGTCTGAAATAGAAATGCAACAACGATTCGTGTGGACGTGTTATTGGTTCCTGCTTGCCATTTTTGTAGCAATGACTAATCAGGTAAACGTCTAATTAGAAGAATATTAGAAAAATATACGGGTAAATATTTCAATTTTAGTAAAATTATCTTTTAGAGTATTAATGTGCTTTAATGTTATAATTAAATACAATATTAGAAATGTTGTTTTATATATTACCGTGCAGTTAAAGGATAATGTACTTTACAGATACATAAGTGGTCGCATACGTATTTCGGATTACCTGGCTGGGTTATTTGGCTTCAAGAGCTCAGGATTATCCTGCCGAGGAAGCATCACCGCGTACACCACGTCGCACCCCATGAGACTTACTTTTGCATCACTACGGGATGGCTGAACTGGCCTTTAGAAAAACTTCAATTTTGGTATATTTTGGAGGTGATAATCGAGTGGTCCACCGGTTGCAAACCTAGAGCTGACGATCTGAAATGGGCGCAAAAACGTTCTTGAGAATTAATAATCGTCCTCCTTTCCTTACTGTATATTTTACTATATGATCGAGATATTTAACGTACGGCCAAACGTAACGGAAACACAACAAAACACAAACATCGAACTAAGTAGAGATTAAGTGGAAGATTTGTATGGGCAATAGTAAAAAAAAGTTTGTATACATGGAATCTTCAATTGTTTGAAGAGATATCGAGTATGTATACATATTATACTTTTTTCTTTTCGTACTACGATACGAGGCCTTTTGTGAAGACAGATAGAGTGCATAAGGATAAATAGCATTATTCGATTTCGATATGCTTTTAAAATTTACACGTTTTTAATACGTACGCGCAATAATACATGTATATATATGTATGACAAATAAGGAATAAGCATAAATTTCAGAATCACGCTTACGAAATTGCAATCTGACAAATCTGTCAACACCATGTCGATAACTTCTTTATGTATCGCACAATCATCGCGTATCAATTTTTGCACAAACTTATAAACTTTGTTTTAACACGATGTACAAGAGAGCAATTCGAGAAAAGCCACCGTGATATTAAAGGCCAGATACGAGACGTAATAATAAGCTAAAATACCTCATATTTTTTTAAAATACACGATTGCATTTTTCTAATGTGTCGTTAAACGATTAAAAGTAAACATGAAAAATATGTATGATAACACATGATAGAGATATGCGCATACATATTTGTATATATATGATCTATGCATATACGTGCTAAAATATATGCATTATATATATATATATGTATATATATATATAATTCGATTATTAGTTAATCAAAATATTTGAAAATTATCGATTTATTAATCGATTTTTTTCATGTGCAAAGTATGAAGAATACTGTCAAACGTTTATAAACAAAATCCATTTTTTTTTAATTATTAGAACGCAACGATATCGTTTATCGATATAAGTGCTCCAATATCGTCTCTTTTGTAAACAAAACTGACCTCTCTGAACTTTCTAAAATATTATAAAATATTATAAAATGTGAGGTTAATCAAAATTCATTTGCATATATAAATATATTGATTAAAACTAGCCAAATTGTCAATTTCAAGTTTTCATAATGTATATTTATAAAAACACATTTTTTAAATTAGGATAAGTTTTTTTAACATCTCATAAAAAGGTGACTTTACCAAAATATTTACTTGCTTTTATTTGGATAATTTGGACATTTCTTTATGTATTTATTCATTACTGTAAAATTGACAATCTGGCTTTCGATCTTGGATTCTTATAAGAGTATTGATTTCGTTTTTAAAACTTGGAGCTAAGAATTGTACGATACTGTTAGATGACTGCTGTGTCCTGCTTTTTTTTACAATTAGTAACCAGACGCATGCCGTAACTAATATACATGAAATCTATTCCTTTTAAGTTTGTCTTATTATTTTTAAGTTCATTTCTTTTTTTCTTCATGTTTTCATGGAGAAAAAGAAAAAAGCTGAACTATACAAGGAGCTCAGCTAAAAAAATAACAGATCTATATTGAATTCAAAACACATACATAGCATTATAAGAATTAAGGGATAAACGTTTTATTTTATAAAGAAATACAATTTTTTAATAGTTATAATACCTATGTAAATAAAGCAGAGCAGGAATATAACAAAATGCATATAAATTAATGAGAAAAATTTTTAATGAGAATATTTTTAAATAAGTACATGTTATTAAGATTTTGTTTTTTGCGCGAATGTTCGTACTGGCTACACTTCTTAGCTCGCAACATGTAATCAAAGGACAAAAGTCTCGAAGTGCTAAGCATAGGTACTAGGTTCAGGGCCCAAAGATAAAACTTATCGCTCTATCTTGTAACGATGTTCTGAACGCTTAATTTAATTTAAGTGAAGTACACTGATAGTGTATATACGTCTAAATCGTTCGACAATGTTTTCGCTTATCTACAAACGCTTCTTCGCTTGGCATCGAAGTATCGAATTGCTGCGGATACGTTCGACATATTTTATGTCAAACTTCACCCTGATCTATGTTCCTTACACGCAAATCAATAATAATGTCTTTTAAACGAAATAATATTTATAAGAAATAGCAGTTATTGTAATTATTGTACTCATTGTTATTGTTGTTGTTATTGTTATAAGAGACAGTGTAAAGTTTAAACGAACTTCATCAGGTAAGAAATCAATCTTTAAACTTTTTCAATCTCATTTATGCAGTGCGTGATATTAAATAATTATTTAATACCACCATGAATTATTTACTCTTGCTGTGAAACATTAGATCCAAAGAGATAAATTTATTTATTTATTTATTTATTTACACATAAATTACAAGTATGAGATGTAATATAGATTTTTTGTTTTCTCCTTGAATCCTTTCACACGACATTTTCACAATAAGTTGATATTATAGAACAATTTTATAAATATTTCCGAAGTCATATAAATGTTAAATTTTAATTTAAATAGGGATGAACATGCTTCGTACAATAACAAATAACAAAAAGCGTTACAAAAAAAAAAGTGAATTCTATTAAGTAAATATGGACGAAAAACGGAGATTTTTATTAAGCCATACAGAATGCTGCTAATCAAATTTTAAAAGTTTTTAGCACAAGCAGAAATATAGAACTATTTACGAAATGGTAATAGAAAAATTTGATAAGAATCTATCGGACTAGCAATTTACAGAAATTGGATCAATGGTTTATTAGTACCATTGCAATTATTGCAAATAATCGACAGATATAATGTTACCTATTGGATTTGAAATAATGGCGAAACTACTACTGCTATGAATTTCTACAAACGATTTTGCTTGCTTGTTTCAACTGTGACATTAATAATATTAAGGAGTAACTTGGATCTAACACAGATCTCACTATTCACAGTAAGCAAGAATGTACGTTTTAATTCCGTTCATTTTGCTATTTGTAAGGAGGTCTATATGAAAGATAAAAATTTTGTTTCACTTAATCATAGCTCTCTCGTAACAATAAGAATGAAGTAATTAAAAATGCGCCGAACAAGAACTAGATATAATACAAGGAATTTGTATAGTATAAACGACACGATTTCGGCAATTAAGATCAGATGTTACCTCCATCCGATCTTAAAATTAAATAAATTTAATTTTAAGGTCTTAAAGTTCGCAGTGGTGAAGCGTAAATTGCGAGACATGACAAAAAGAGATATAAATTCACGTGTATTCTAAATATTTTATATACTTATGCTCGCGAAAGATTTATATATGTTACTGCATGCGCAATAACGCATACGTAGAAAATAATCGAAAAAAATGCCAAGAAAAATGATGCTGTACTGCTATTTTAATACGATCGATGACTATGTTCCTTGATCACACATCTCGTAAACTATCCTAATCATTCTTAATGAATACCCTACTCTAAGGTCCGTTTTTACTCCAAAAGTGTTTCCCATCGAATGCGAAATACTTTTAATCAAATATTTTTGTGATGTCAGAAAATATTTCGTTTAATACTCACGTTTTTTCTAAACCACGTAACTCGAGCCTTTTCGCCTAAAATAAGTCTCAGCACAATAAGTACTAAGAGACATATGGAGCAATTGACGCATTTGCTGCTGCTGAAAGTACAAAGAGAATAAAAGACAAGCCGTTGCTTCTAAGCCTGCATACTACTATAACGTATTTTGTATTTGTGTAACACTTTGCATACTTTGTTACCTATGCGCATATCTTTTTATAGTAAGTGTATACGTACACGATTGAATCATCGACAACGATTAATGACGCTTTCATAATCTTAACTTTTTATTCGAATTAATGAACTAATGTTTTTGTAATCTTTTTTTCTAACAGTCAACTCATCTGAAACACCAACTAGAAGAGCAATCTGACGAAACAGATATAAAATCAAAACGAGTCACAATTTTACTTTTTTAATGAAACCTATCATCGCTAACTGACAATTGGAGGCCATAATAGCAACGAAATTGAACCGTGTGAACAGTTTGTCGCATAGGAAACAAGTGCATATTGAAGAATGGACTGAAGACTATACATAAATGTGGAGTATAACGTTTTAATATCTTCATATGATTATGTCTGGTGACTGTTCAGGAAAATTATTAGATCAAAGTTACTTCATTTTGGAGGGAACTTCTTATTATTTTTGTCATATAATTAAAATCGTTGCGAGATTTAATAAAAATAACAAAAGTTACTAATAAATCTGAAAAATGGTTCTATTTAAGACGAAATTTTTACCAGTCATAAAATACCTTCCTTAGAGAGGGAAGGCGAGGCTTCTTATAACTTATATCTTTGATTTAATAAGTTTTCTTAAACAATTATTGAAACATAATTGCTGGGAGGAATTGAACTGGGAACGCTCTGTACACCTTTCCGTAAAACGACGGTATGAATTTTTAAAAATAACTGTAAATTAGATTTGATAGCCGTCTAACTAATCTATTGGAACGCCTTGATATTGTCGAAGTAATAAAGAAGGAAAAAATTACCTGCGATGCAGGAGAAATCGTGTATGCTGTTACAGTGTAATAAAAAACTTTATTCTAGCTAGCTATCCGTTATTATCTCCAGTTACATCAGATTTATTCGTCATCCGAAACAAAAATGAAGACTCGCGCGTAGAAGACTCAGCATCGTCGATCCTTTGTGATATCGCAGATATACTTGTACAAGATGAAATCAGTATAGTACAATATAGTATCTGTGATAGTACCTTAATTTGTTAACATGATGCCGCATGGCTCATTTTTTTCGATTTCAAACTTGATTTTCTAATATCCATTTCTATCAATGTAGATTAATTTTAATTCTGCGGTTTAACTTTACAATTTTTATCTCCTAGTTCAGGTTCTAAGAATTAGAAAATATAAAGAGTAAGTTGAACCAAAATTAATTAAAGTTAATCTACATTAATCCAGTCGACATCAACTAACATATACATAATATAACAATGTTATAATAATTTTGCACTCAACAATATATGTATAACTATTATATATAATATGTAAGTATTATATTTATATCGAGTGCAAAATTTTATAACATCCATATTTACTTTAATTTGGTTATTTTCGACTGGATTGACAGAAATAAACATAACAAATTAATTGATTGTTTCATTATTAGTGTTAAAAAATAATATTGCTATAATAGCCGATCAAATTAACGGTTTTGGTCGAATTACCTTTCTGTAATGTTTAAAGTTTAAATAAAAATGTATAATTTTTCCTATATCTTTCCTTCCTACGTGCTTTGTCGCTTCATGAGAAATCTTTCTCCTTTCGTGTATGTATTTTTTTGTTGTTTAAAAATAATCGCTGGTTTATCCATCAGGATGGATGTAAAAACGAATGCACGCTTGAAATAATTTAAAAATTCTGTTGAGGTAAGCAGTATCGCCAACATTCGAGAGGTCTGCAATACAAAACTTGTTTGTTTCAGGGCTGGTTGTTCCACCTTTTGGTAAATTTTACCTGTTAGGTAAATCTGCCAATCCACGCATGTGATTGGGTAATCTTGTTACTCACATCCGACAGGTAAAATTTACCAAAAGGTGGAACAACTGGGCCTTATTTGCAGCTCTTCTTGCATCATGCAAATTACATGTGTATCTTGCTCTTTTTTTTCCACACAACGCTCGAATATATTCACCTCTTTTCATATGCGGTAAACACCCTCAGAAGCTCTAGTGAAAAAATTCTTATACTATTTTTTTTAAAGAGAATTTGACTTATTTTATAATTGAAATAAAAGTACCTCAAATTTTTTCAATTTTATAAGTTTTCTTTGAAAATTATAGAATGAGAAATCTTAAGGACATCCCGGAAAAAAATGTTTTTTATATATAATTATATAAAATTATATATAATTAGAAAAGATCTTCTCAGAACTTCTAAAGTTCCAATTAGTATAAAAAATATCTGAGAAATTTTCGAAAAAGTTATAAAATTTTGAAGAATTCTGAAACTTACAAAAAAATTCTGAAAAACTATATAAAGAATTATATAAAAAATTCTAAAATGTTCACATATGCTGAGTTCAGATTCCTACCTGATTATCACTCATTCCATTCTTGTTGTTTATCGAACATTAGACAAGGATGACGATGCACCCGGGAAGCATTCAGGTGGAAATTTGAACACGCCTTTAGCTTGGGCGGGGGGGGGGGGGGGGGATGAAATGATTGCACATGCCTGCACATGTCTGTTTCTATGCGCCCAACTTCGCGCGTGTCCCTGTTGCTCCTGTTAACGTGCCTAATTAACACATCGGAGTGCTACACGACGTCAAGGATAAACTCTGGGGGATTCCGGATTGTTTATCGAATTGTTTATTAAATCGTGCGAATGTAATAATGCATAAACATATGACACATCGTTGCACTGTGCCGGATTTGTTTTCTAAGCTTGACTGCCGCCGGTGAATCTGTATTTTACCGGTTTTGGTACAATTTGAGCACCTAGAAAGAGCAGATATTGGGCTCGTTCCAGCTGTTCCTCGTAAGTGAACCTTTCTCTTTGCCTTTGTACTATATTTATCCTGTCTCCTTTTCTGTCTAATATCTAATCGATTATCTGTCTCATTCTAAGTGCAGATATTAAATGGGAAAGCATGACTGTGGTGCATCGAAGAATTTCAAGATGGTGATGGTTTAATGACAACTAATGAAAAATAATAATATCTATCTCTCCAAAAAAACAGGTGTGACGGAAGAACAAAAAAAGAAGATAACTTCAGTTTGTAACACCAACTTGCACATGTGGTTTTCCGAAACTATTTCGTCGTTTGTTTAATCGACTGTTCGAAACTTTGGATTTATCTTATTGTTTTGTTTACAAAACATTGTATAAGAGATATCTACTTTCGATATCTTATATAAGAATGAAGTTTTGCGTCACATGAGATTTGAAATGAATCTGACGGTCAGAAGTCTTCGATGTACTTATAAAACTGACAGAGTCAAACTAATTAGGATTTGATTTGTAAATCTTGACTTATTCAAATATTGAAGTGCACTGAATAACAAATCTGCGAGATATCTCGTTGATAAATCTCGAGATGGAGCGTAACGCTAAGTTTGTCGATATGCTCGAGGATAGACGAAGGGATTGTGACTTTTTGTGGGCGACACGGCCTATGGATCCGGCATTACCGCATATGTTGCCACCGGATTCAGTATATGACAGGGAGAGGATCATGCAAGCTGTCTTGCAGGACAAACAAGTCAAAGCTGCCATTGATACAATAGCAAAGACTACAGGTGTTGAAGTTAAAGATGTTGAGAATAATGCCCGTGCCATGATAAACGAGATGGCTAGTAAAGCAGATTTGGCGACTGTTCGTTGGATAGGTATATTTTTGATAAATATTGTTTCAGTTCTAATTCCATGTACTATATACTTATTATTTTATCTACTAATGTTTTTTAGGAATTATAATTAAGAGAGACTATAATTTTTTTTATCAAATGTTTTGTATTTTTTGCCTCAAGAAGATAAAATAAAATTGTACTTCTAATTCAATGATTGATGAATATTAGCACATTTGTTTCTTGCTAAATGTTTTATAATATGTTTGGTAATTTCAGGTATTTTTATTACAAAAGCTATGAAGAGAATGTTCTCGCAGATTTATATAAATGAAACTATGCTTTCTAACTTAAAGAAAGAAACACGAATATCTCAAGCACAGTATATCTATGTTCCATCGCACAGAAGTTACTTGGATTTTATTCTGTTGTCATATATTCTCTTTTCTTACGACATGGCACTGCCGAATATTGCAGCTGGCATGGATTTTTATAATATGAAAATAGTGGGAGAACTACTGCGAAAAACTGGAGCATTTTATATAAGACGTAGTTTCTCAAATGATTTATTGTACAAGCAAATTTTCCGATCATATGTTAACACTATTGTTAGTCACAGTGATAGGGCGATAGAATTTTTTATCGAAGGTACACGGAGTCGTAGTCAAAAGAGTACGATACCGAAATACGGTAGGTAAGAAAAGAGTTTTTAAATAATCTCAAATTATGGAAAAGGACAGATATTGAAATCTCATATCAATCTTTCACAGGTCTTTTATCCATCATTATAGAAAGTTTACTTCAAGGCGACGTGCCCGACATATATTTTGTACCTATGAGTATTAATTATGAACGTCCACCGGAAGAATTATTATTCGTTTATGAAATGCTAGGAGTTCCGAAGCCGAAAGAAAGTACGGCTCGACTTTTTCGGTCACTCTCCATTCTACAGAAACCTTTTTCTCATGGACGCATTTTCTTTAACATCGGGGAGCCAATATCCGCCAGTCAATTCGTGGATAAGACATATCGACAAAAAAAAATTTTACAACCTTCCTTCAAAATTCCATCATCAGTTGTAGAGAATATAGCTTATCTTATAATAGAATCACACAAGAAGAATACTGTACTTATGCCGATCAATATTATAGCTTTGCTCCTTAATGAAAAAATTCAAACGAAACCGAAAGAACCATACACACTCGATTTATTGATTCAAGACTATCAATGGTTTAAGAGCTTCGTTACTAAGTCATTGAAAGCCTTAATGTATGGAACTGAAACGTAAGTATTAAACTTTGTACAATATATATAATATGTACAATATAGCTTGGAGTTGTAATTAATCTGCATGTGTAACATTATTCATTCTTAGTTTTTATAATCTCGCCTATTATTTTAATTATAAACTATAGACATAGATATCTGTTAATATTTAAATCTTCAGAATTCTACATTATGTATGCATAATTTGTTGCAGTACTGATAACGACGCGATCAAACAGGAAATATTGGAATCTTTAAAACCGCATGATGAGTTAATAGTGCTCGATTCATCAAACACGTTAAAAATCAAACAAAAGCATAAAAGAATGAAACAGTTAAATAATTCAAATATTAAAGGATACCCTCTGTCTGAACAGACTTTGCAAATAGCGGTACCTGCCATTAATATTGCTATTTATAGCAATCCGACTTTGGCTTTTTTAGCAGAAATAGTTTTTATAACTGCAACGATAGGAGAGAATGGCATTGAAACCGGTAATGATTGTAAACATTAACATCAATAATGTTTTATTTTATTACTGATGTAATAGTAAAATATAAAAAAGTAATTATCGTTTCCTTTCCATGCAAGTATACAGATTGGAAAGAATTACTTTATTTATTTTTCTTATAGTTCTTTTATCAATCTCGTATTTTATTTGCAGAAGTAGCTTTGGAACGGTATGAATTGTTAAGAAGATTATTCAGTACAGAATTCGCGATGCGATCAATTGAAGACAAAACTTTAATTAAAATAGAATGGGAAAAGTCGTTAAATGTATTGATATCACAGAACTGCTTGTATACAGTGAACGATTTAATTTTTATAGGAAATAACACCAAACTGTTTTCTATCTTGCATAACATTATATTACCTTTCATAGACGTTACGTATGTAATATGTATCTTATTATCTGAGGTAAGAAAAATTTATCTAAACGAAACTAACTCTAATAAGAGACAATACATTAAACATTTGTATATACTTCTTCCTTTTTAGTGGACGGAAAGAACATCAGTCGAACTCACGGATCAGACAATTCTTGTCGAAACGCAGAAAGAAGTGGAAAGATTAATATTCGAGACTAAAGACCGGTGTCAACATCCCTACTGTTTATCTCTTGATCTGTGTAACACAGCATGGTCTAGCTTATTATCGCAAGGTATCGTCGCATACCAGAAACATACCAATACGTATCGAACGGATAAAGCAAAATTGGCATATCTTATTGGAGCATTGCTCGAATTACCATTAAGTCATCCAACGGAAATTTACGTCGACGCGTTTCCTTTAATTATTTCAACATCATCGATGGATATACAAGCTAAATTATAACAGTTTATCATGAAACAATGAATTTGATACATCAATACTAATAGTACACTGGAAAAAAAATTGTTCAACTAACTAAACACATTTAGTTGTTTGCAGATTTGGTTAATTCAACAAATTTTATTTAATCGAATTCAACCGTAGTCTGCCTAACAAATTGTTCAATGTTAAGCAGACTACGGTTAAATTCAATTAAATAAAATTTGTCGAATTAACCAAATCTGCAAACAACTAAATGTGTTTAGTTAGTTAAACAAATTTTTTTTCAGTGTATTAATAATAGCATTATATTAATAATCATAATTTGATTTTAACTGTGAGATATATGTGTCGATACATCGATAGTACATTCCGCTTTAATTCACGAGCTGTAGACATGCAGGGTATGTTATTATTGGTGGCACAATCGGGAAAGGAATAATCTTACATGAAAAAAAAAAAACAGATAAAAAATATCCGATTTTTTCATACAAAGCTTTGTTGATTGAAATTCGAGAAATCGCTATTTATTCAAGTTACATAATTTTTAACCTTTTTCTACGAGTACATACATATATGTACAAAGTTTTCAAATCTCTCATTTTTAGCTTTAAAATTGATTTTCTCGGAAATATATAAAGCTTCGTATGAAAAAATTTTGCCATATATTTTCGACATATTTTTTCATATAGAATCATTAATTTTCCAGTTATACCCACCATTAATAATACACTATTTTATATTACATTTTAAAAATCAGGAACGAAACTATTAATGTTATTAAGTATCCTAGCGGTGTCATCGTCGAGATCGGTGGAGCGTTTTCGTTTGCCAAGAAACACTGTAGCGGCGGTTGTGGTGGTCGTAGGCGTGTTAATATTCCGGAGGAGAAGCTGCAATGATTTCATCTTCAATAATACACACGTCAAAGAAAGTAGAGTGCAATTTTACAGTTAGTAATAATTCTAGTCGAGAGATCAGCGTCTCGAGGAATATTCCTTACCATGACTAATCGAACAAGATAAACTGCAAACGTGAGGAATGATATGGCCATCAGTGTGCCTTCTATCGAAGGGAATCCTAAAGAATGATCTTCATGATCATCGTGCCCATAATACTCGACACCTCTTATTTTGCGACTTGGTGCCATAGTAGTGGTAAGGCGAGATTCTGTTGATGAGTATAATATATAAAAACTTTCCGTTTTGATAACGTGCGAAGGAAATGTGCGGGCAAATCTTACCTATTTCTGACATCAATGTCTTCTCGATCGTTTTAAGAAAGTAAAGTTTTCCTTCGACCGACGCTGGCTGCGATTGCAAAGTATGGTGAACACTTTTGAGTATGTCTATGGGCAAGTATTGGAATATACCATCATCCTGCTTCGATGTGTCGTTGTCGTATTTATCTTGCGACGTTTTTTGTTCGGTATTTGGTGGCGGTTGAGTCGTAAGTGTGTTAACCATTGTATCCTTTGTTGGTGACATCATATCGTTCTTGTTAAGTCGTTCTTGTTTGTTTAATTTATTCTAAAACATTTAAAATATTTACAATGTCTAATCAAAAAAATAAATTATTTTGTTTGTACATGGTTTGTTTATTAATTTCAGTTCTTTATCCCGTGAACACCTTTCCGTTACCTCAGTCACAGCATCGGTGATCGTTGCAGTGCGAACCGTTGTACCGATATCTGCTTTATCAGTGATTTGATGGGGAAACAGATTCACCGGCGTTGTTGATACCGAGACAGAATTTATCTTCTTAATCTCCGTCCTTCTATTATGCATCGCATATGTGGCTTTGACTTGGCTACCATTTCGTTGACTACCGGGAAAGTTAATGTTGTCCGTGTCGCCTCGTCTGAACTTATAAAACTGATTGTGCTGTACAGAAGGTATCCTTAAAGAGTATACAAGCGATATTAATCTAGAGCGAGCCAGAGAACTAAATGATGTAACTAACTTACCTGTAAACCTTTGTTTCGTCCGAGAATTGCGGCATGTCCACCCATTCCGCTACGATAGCGTTAAGGAAAAGTATTATGGTACACAGAACGCAAAACGCGCCGTGCACAAACATATTTGGATATAATGTTACTTATTATTGTACGTTATCCCGCGGGCGAAACGCATCTCATTCTTGTCACTAATCAAGTATATAACACGTGAACTTCTCCAAGTCTCTACTGCGTATCTGTAATTCAGAAACTGTCCGGTGTCGGGCATGGATATGCTGCAGGTGACACGCGCGAAGAGACACCATTATTTCCAGCAGAGATGTTCTGTTAGGATTAAAGAGAACGAAACGGCTGATGATGCTCATGCATCGGAAACGGTTGTTACAGAAAAGGCCACTTCCTTATGTCTCTTTCTTTTTTATGATTTATCTCGCATGATGCTAATTCAATTTGTCATGATTTGTTATTCTCTCATGACATTGATGGAAACGTAATTTTCCAAGAAAAATTTTAGGGAACACATTCGCGGGGAATAAATAATGTAGCAGTATATCACTTTCTGGATGAGTAAGGCAAATTCCGTTTATTGGTACCATTTTCGGATAGAAGGCTTAGAGCGATATACAAATTAATTTAATATCAAAACTCACATGTGGCACTGAAAAGCCATCTTCTCCTCCATTCAATCTAACGCGTTACGAAGAGAAATGTGCTCATGAATATGAACATGCTGCTGCTTGTTATGATTATCTTTTATTACTATTACCACAAAAAGAACATATAAATTGAGACTTTCATCTGGCACTAAGTACATAAGCCGGCAATCTATTGTACATATATTGTTCAAGACGTTTGCGGTAACGTTTTTTTTTTAGATCTCAGGATATCAGATTAAGTAACATACGCATTATCTAACTGCACGATACATCGCTTTCTTGGTTCAGAAAGTACTAAGTTCTTTTAAAGTATGGAATTGTAAGTCGAATTTGTGTGCAATTACATGAGAGTTAATAAAACTCTTTTTATTATATGTTGCTTATTTATATATATGATATATCCTGCCTTCCAACCACGAATGCGGAAAAGCATAAAATTAGCGCGATGGTAAGTATAAGAGATTACAATTACAGCATTTGTTCCTACATACATTGGAGTATTTTCCTTCCTCTTATGCGGGAAGAACACTTAAATGCCTGGCATTAAATGCATCGAGTATTATAAATGCGTTTTCCATGAGTACGAGGTTGATCGCATACGCACGACTTAAGAGATTATATTTGCATAGCGTAAGTAGACTCTTCTTAAGTATAGGTGCGTACAATATGCGCATAAGACATTGATCTACGATATTCTACGAGTAAGGTTACGATAAACTTTTTAAAAGTTATTATAAAATATAACAATTAACGCGCCTGTTGACGCACGCGCTTATATATCTTTTATGTTACATGTATATCGATTATCTCTTTATGTTTTTATCGTCATTTCGCATTGTGATATCCTCATTGGATATATAATATTTACTCTGTTCTTAAGGAACGTAAAAATCGCACTATTGCATTACACGATATAAAATGAGAAACGATTTTCTATATTATACTTATAAAGGTTATTAAAGGTATAGGCCGCATTTTTAAGGGTATTATGCCAATTTATGATCCAATACATACTCAGCTATTCGAAATCGAATATATTCTCTTTATATAGTTATTAAATATAGAAATATTTCTTCCGGAAAGATTGCACCTCTTTATCTGAGCCATTTACGAAATATTTTAAATATTTTAAATAGATTCATTTGAATAAATCAATTATTAGGCTAGTGCAAAAGCTTCGTCGTTTTTTTACATTAAATTTTTTATATTAAATTTTGATTTAAATAGACAAATGGATCTAAATTTTTTAAAAGGATATTCAAAAATTGTTTTTCTAAATAAAGAATAATATACTTATATTGTAATTAATAAAAATAGCTTCAAGTTTATGCAATTTCATTTTCGAGTTTATTTAATGAATATGACAAATCTTTCTTGCACCATCTTAATAATTTTAATAAGTTCTCTCGCATATAATATTCACATTTCTAGCTTGTTAATCTAAGTCAACCTCATTTCTCTCGTATTGACTACTGACACAATCATCGTTCCATATCATCGATAAGCAAATTTTATAAAGAGAATACCACCGCATTTAAGTATATCTATTTCATTCAACGACATTCTAATGTTATCGCAATGAAAAAACGATATATATATCGAGGGCAAATCAATAAGTACCCGTGTTAGTAATGAAGACGCAAACTTTTCACAAAAATTTTTTTTATTTTGCAACGTAATCCCCTTTTAGGAGGATACATTTTTCCCAACGCTCCTGCCATTTTTTTAACCCCTCAGAAAAATATGATTTGTCAAACTCTACAAAATAGGCCTGTTTCGGCGATGACCTCCTCATTCGACGTGAATTTCTTTCCAGCGAGCCATTTTTTCAAGTTTGGAAACAAGAAGAAGTCACAGGGAGCTAAATCCGGAGAGTACGGTGGATGCGGCAGCAATTCGATCAATTTGGCTGTGGCGACTGCGGAGGAGTGAGCCGGTTCATTGTCCTGATGGAACAACACTTTTTTTTTCGCCAAATGGGGACGTTTTTTCTTCAATTCAACATCGAATCGGCCCAATAAGTCAGTATAGTGCTGCTCCGTGATAGTTTTTTCTTCCCCTATGTAGTCGATGAAGATCACGCCTTGCGCATTCCAAAAAACGGTGGCCATCGCTTTTCCGGCCGATGGGACCATCTTGGCCTTCTTCGGAGCACGGTAAGATCCACTGTTTTGACTGTTGCTTGGTCTCCGGTGTGTAGTAATGAATCCATGTTTTATCAACGGTTACGACTCGACGCAAAAACTCGTTCGGATTGCGCTTGAACAGTTCCAAATACTGCTTTGAAATTGATAACCGCATCCGCTTGTTGTCCGCCGTAAGCAATCGCGGCAACCATCGGGCCGACAGCTTTTTCATTCCCGAGTTATCATGCAAAATATTGAATGCCGTTCCGTACGACACGCCTACGGCCTCTGCTACTTCATGCACTTTCGTTCGGCGAGAATCATGTCA